TTGCTATTACCTAAACTGAGTTGCGTGTGTTAAAAGAGGAAAAGAGCTGGTCGGAAATTGGCTTGATGCAGGTTGAGTTATTGTTTTATAGTATTGCAGTAAATAGTTTTGAATATAAAGCATTTCAATAATAAATATTTTTCATTATAACATTGTAGTAAAAAAAGCCTTTCCTAATCAATCCGATACATTTTCTAACCACAAATGATTATAATCAAGTCTATAGACTTAAATATAATCCTATATCAATTTAGAGAATTTAACAAAAGAAGTCAAGTCAGCTAAGCACTCATGTCCATCCCATCCTTCAAATTTCATCTAATAATTGATAGGATAAAATACCAATACATTATATATAAACCTGAGAGCCTCAGACCACCGCTTATCTCTGACTATTTGTTGAGAGTTAAAGCAAGATGGAGTCTTTTGTAACGAAAAAACCCTTGATTTGCATCGTATTCATTTTTTCGTTGAGACAAAAAAAATTATGGGCTTTGAAATTAAACAAATGGGCTTCCCAACTCAAAACTCTATTGAAGGCTGAAACTGTTTTCCAGGAGGCTCTTGCTCTTCTCCTAACTCTTCAGTTGGAGGCCCTAAAGTATAGTGTGGGTCCGCCCTTGCCTCCAAAACCCTTTAATTTCCTCTATTACGATCATAGCTAGTATCTAAAGGGTCCAAACTTGACAAAAACCAAGTTTAAGTGTCCTCATGGTCATGATCATCATTATAGATAATAACATCATTAATTTTGGGCCTTAACAGTTGCAAATAAATATACACTTAAGCAATTCTCTTCTAAAGTAATTTACCACAAATTTAATCGAACCATACGACAAGAGCTGTATGCTCATATAAACTTTTGCCGCTGACTTAAGTTCTTCAACAAAAATAACAAGTGCTTTCCTTTTTGGCATGACCATATATTAATAAAGTACTTTAAATAAAAGACAAACAGAATTCTTTGAAATGATTGCCAATACGCCATCCAAAGTCAACATGCTTGCACTCTCAATATTGCTCACCTCATTGATAGAGAGGCAATTAGAGTATAGGGTGTGGAAGCACCGAACGATTATCCTTGTGCTGCAAAATGTATAAATAATGATATGGAAGGATGAGTCATAAAAATTATTGTGTGTAGACATGCAAATACATCAATATTTGTGTACTTTGTGAATATAAAACAACATATACTTTTCACATCTCAATATAGTTTTTTTCTAGTTTTCGAATTCAATGTCAATATTTCATGACCATGACACATTTATGTACTTTTAAAGCTCCACTCTTACCCTAACTATATTTAGCTAAGGAAGAAGGTATCTCGAATTGAATCTGCAGACAAGAAAATAATCGTACTCAATTTAGACTTAGAAATGGTAAAGGATGAAACTTGAGCCAAATGAAAGAGTCATGAAGAGAAGTGCAACATATTATTAATTAGCTGTCTTATGATAAAAATACCTGCTCGCTAGGTATTGCCACGTCATTTGTCATTTATACCATGAATCTCCTTTCCTTTGATTTTTCTATTGTCATTAGATCTTGCTGGAATTTGCTCCATATTGCCACAAGTTACTTGTTGCTGCTCAAATTCTGGCACCAAATACCAACTAATAAGATCAATGTGCTTAACCTTCTGTGTATAGCTCCCCAGCGTGGATTACTACTTTTAATATCATGAAATCCACAAATCTATTACCTTGGTGACTAGGAGCCCGTTTGTTTAAGATTAAAAAATAAGCAACTTCTAGGTAATTTAGAGATTTTATATGAAGAGATATATTTTGTAGATATTTTATAAAAAAACATATATTATTTTATGTTTGGCTATAATAATAATAATAAGTCATTTTTAGTTAGTTATTTTTAAATTTTATGATATATTCCTTGATTTTTATTTTATAAACAAGTGATTTGGTTTGGTTAAAACAAACAGGCCTAGAAGTGATTTTTTCAAAAGTTTAAACAAACATAACAAAAACTCACAAAATAATTTTTTTTCAAAAAATAAATGATTTTTCATGAAATAAGCTAAAACAAACGAGCCTTAGAAGACCTATCATACATGGGTGTTTCCCAATATGGAAGTAAGGAGAGCCCCTTGTTGTCCTCAGTATCCTGTTGGGCTTTTTAAATTATAATGTTTTGGTTTGGCTAAAGATTTGCAAATTAACACTGGTGCAATCCCAATTTTTAAATTATAATGTTTTGGTTTGGCCAAAGAGAGAGGAATGCCATACCGTCAACACTGGTGCAATCCGAATTTACATCGTCATCAAATGTGCTCTCAACGGTTTTATAATCTGTATGTTACAAAAGGTTGAAACAATCTAGTCAATATTGGGTTTCTAAAACAAAAAGTAATTGCCTATTTGATTTCCATTCCCATTTTTTATTTTTAAAAACTGTTAAAAACTGTTTTATAGTACAGTTTTTAAAATTGTATTTCGAGACAAAACAAAGTAAAAATTCATTTGATTATATTAATTTAAAATAGTTTTAGAATTAAAAAGTAGACTGATAGTGAAGATTATAGGCAGTTAATAATGGTAATTTATGATAGAAATTGATCAAGGTAACTATAATTTTTAATAATCAAATGTAAGGTATTTTAAAATAAGAAAAATGGAATGAAAACAACTCGGGATTGTTTTCATTTTTTGTTTTAAAAAACAAACAGTTTTGGAAACAATTAAATCAAAAAAAATTATCCAAAAAGGTTTTTATTTTTTATTTTTGGTTTTCAAAAACAAAAAACAGTTTTTAAAAATTTAAAACAAACAGGCCCTAAATTTCCTTCTTTATCTTTCGCCATGGAAAATGTAAGAAGAATAATTAGCTGCTATAATGCAAGCATTATATAGCAATATGATGAATAAAGTAGTGTAAGACATGCATCTTTCCTCAGATACATGGATCCTTGCCCATTTAAATGCAATGATAATACTTTAATCAAATTCAATGATTTTCCAATAATGCAATTGTAACTGTGAATAAAATATGCAAATCTAAAAGTGATGATAGCAATCAAATTCAATGATTTTCCAATAATGCAATTGTAACTATGAAGAAAATAAGGCAAATTTAAAAATGATGATAGTATAAAGAGGAGATTAGGAATGCGATACCATCAGAACTTGTGCAATCCCATTTCATATCATCATCATCATCATCATCATCATCAAATGAGGAGCTATCTGCGGTTTCATAATCTGCATGTTACAAAAAGGTTGAAACAATCTGGTCAACGAATAAAGAAATGAAGCAACTGATTCCGATCGTACCACCTAAACTAATCAATATTTGTTTTGGACAACAAATACATGATGAAATCCACTCTAATTTCTGATAATTAATAATTTTATAATTCAACATAAACATCCTCATATTTCTAAGACTTCACATAGCTGATTCAATTAAGTAGGGACATACAAATACAACATAAAGGAAAATGGTTAGAGAAAGCTTAAAAAAAAAGAGATACAGATGATAAGAAATTCTATGATAGATCAGAGAATCACCTCTATTTGTGGAATCCAATCCTTCATAGGGATCAGTAAATCGAATATTTTTCACCTTACAAAGTTGTTTGATTAGACAAATGCCGATCTCTTCTACAACCATGTCATCATTGCAACAACCTAGACGGAACTTCTTATTAATCCACTTACCTTCTCGGATTGCTGGATCATTTGCATCATCACTGTACCCCCTTAGATCCATCACAATTATATGATCAACATTTGGTGCGGGACAAAGCCAATTACTACTCCTAAAAACCATCTGACTGATCATTAAGGTACACTGAAGTCCACATAATATCATTCGATTGAACACTGTCCACTGTTTTAAATGAGCAAAGAGCCATAGAGGTGGGCTGGACCTACGATACCAAAAAGAAATAGATGGTCCTCTGCTTCTGCTATCCAACTCAAACCAATCTGGGATGCTTGTTGCGGGCACACAAAACTTGTCCCATTGTATTTGATTGCAATCCTAATTGATTCCTGTGAATCAAAACAAATGTTGAGCTACATACACAAACTCAATATCATAGAATCAAATGGGAAAATTGATGACCTCACCAATAATAACTTTTAGACTCAGAACTCAATGATAGGCAACCTATTGCTTCCAACCCTCTTATGCTTGGTGGAAGGCCTTCGATGTCTCTCAGATGCTTGCCCCACTTAACCTAAGGTCTTCAAAATTGATATTCTCTTATCGATGCAGGCAAAATGCAAAATTATTACCATTCAAGTCCATATCCGTCACATTGATAAATCAAATAAGTAAACTTCTAAGGACCTCATCTGATATATTGCATCCTGGGAGGTAAACATTAACTCTGTCGGGGCATGACATCGAACGGATCGCTTGTTCATGGGTTTCCTTCCAGATAGATGATTCCCACTTTCCACAATCTTCAACATTGATATAACTCATTTCGGGCAATAGAAATATGCTTCTTGGCAGCTCAATCGTCCCTATGCGAGATTGAATGAATATAGTTCCAAGTTGAGTAAGGTTGGAAATTGACCAAGGCAATTTTTTTATTCCAGTTCCAATCAAATGCAACCTTGTTATTTTCATATTTTCAAGTATCTCTGGAAAGTCTTTAGATTTGAGCAACCACGTATTTCGAGTTCTTGAAAAGAGGGTAGCCTGAATTCATGTGGAAAAGTCTCAAGTTGGATGCAACTCGATACTTCCAAGATTTCAAGTTTTGTTAAATGTTCAACTGAATCATGAATTTCAATTAAATTCTCACAAGACTTAATACATAATTCCTTTAAATTTTGGAGAGCAGAAAGATTAGGTATCTCTATAATAAATTGACAATCTTCAAGCTTTAGAACACTCAAATTCTTCATCCTCTGCAACAACCAAAATCATACAAAAAATCTCAAAAAAAAAAAAAGAAGAAGAAAATGAAATAACAATTCATGCTGGCTACCAAGAAATGCATATAAGTTAGGGTGCCTCAATTTTTCTAGTGAACTCAAACAACCATGTCTGAGTCGAATACAACAAGATTCTTTGGAAAAATTGATCTGGCAACCATGAATAGGGATATCCTTGCCATTTTAGCACTTTAAACTATTAGGAAGATATTTTGGACTTTCCGATAATTCCACATTCTCAAAAATAAGAACTTTAAGATTTTTCATACTCTTGAAAGCTTTTCCATCCCAATTTACTTCCATGCATTCGGACAAATTGTGTTGAATTATGATGCTAACTTCATCTGTACCCTTTAAAGCCAAAAATAAATGCAAATCATGAGATATTACAAGTATAATAATAGATAGAAAACTTTTTTGCCACAAATTTAAAATCAATGACATATTGTGACATATACAAGCGGGGCCACCAATTAAATGGAAACCAAGAGAAAAGAGAAAAGAGAAAATTTAAAAAAAAAATCAAAGTCCTCAACGACCTAGCCTTTAAATATGTGTATACATGTGTATAAGCCCAGCGCTCACCCAACCAACTACTACTAATTTTTTTTTTTTTTTTTGGCTAGATCCAAACCGTTTCCTTACATATGCATAAAATTGATTCTTTCTGTTACCAAAAATTTTCATTCTTTTACTAAATATTTATTAGCTTATTTAAATGTAATTATATATTGATTTATTTTGAATAAAATTTGAAATATCTATCTAACATTTCATTCAAAATATCTAGCCAATTCTTTGTTTTTTTTTATGCAAGAAGAAAAATATCTAGCCAATTCTATATCTCTTGAAAATAGACACTATAATATCATGATTTTATTATATCATTAAAAATTGAACTTGTTATGCTTTTGTAAAATTTTTGAATTTTCTCTTATGATTAATTTACTAATTATATTTTTATTTTTGTACATTTCTGAACTTTTTCTACAATTTTTATATCATTATATATCATTTATTTTGGAAGGATTTTTCTTATACAATATAACACTCTTTCTTTTTTAAAAAAATTGATAATAAAATAAAAAATTAAACTTAAAATAATAAATATACACAATTGAATGCTCAAAAGTATCACTGGACTAAAAGATAAAAATATTTTCTGTATTGAAACTACCACATCACTATAGAAAGGGCAACAAAATTTGAAAAATCTGTTCTATAACTAAAGCACCTTTTTCTTTTTTTTTTCTTTTTTCCTTTTTAAATAAGACCTTCTCAAAAACTATTCCAATCAAACCCATTCATTGGTTATATGCATTTGATTAATTTATAAAATAAAAGAATAAATGAATAAGTCCAGATAACAAAGAAAAGAAATACGAATATCAACACTAAAAAAGGGTTAAAGGAAAAAAATGCTTCAAAAGTTTTTTAAAAAGAATGCTAGATATCCTTACTTTTTAGGAGAAGCAATGTTATCCCAAAAGTATAAAAAATAAAGCAATGTTGTCCTTTCCAATGAATGACTAACATTGGCCCTTGTCTGTCTCTCACTCTCTCTCAACTATTATCTTCTCCATCTTCTTCCTTCTCTTTATGCATTTGCATGACAAATCAAGCATATTGCCACATTCTATAAACAAAAACAAACTAATCTCTTCACTATACATTAATTAATTCTTACTATTACTCACTTAATAAAACAAAGCTAGAAGTGGCAAGGTAGTGAACTTAATCTAGACGGAGCAAGCAACAAGAAGCTTTAAATATGAAGCAAGTGATAGCTAAGATTTGGAAGCAACGAGGTGACGAACTCAACCCAACGGGTAGTGGTAGTGTAGAATGGAGCACGAGATGTGAACCAAGTGCAAATCAACACAGATCGAAAGCAAGTGTAGGCAAATTGGGCAGCTTTGTGATGGATGAACTCCCACAACACAAGATCCCACTTTAGCCACGCAAATAGATGACTAGATGCATGACGGAGTTCAGCGGCACAGTAGACTAGGTGCCGTGGCAAAATCGTCTTCGAGTTCATTAGCTGAAGTAGGAAGAGAAATATAGAAAGCAAACTAATATTTGAATAAATGAAGGGAGGGAGCAAATTTCATGAATGGATATGGCGTTGGAATTGAACTTGGATGATTAAGCTTCTTCTCACATCCCACTTGCAAATCAAGCATATCATTCTCATGGATTTCATGCAAATTCCAACTATTTTCAGGCAATTTCAGTAACTTGTTAGTCAACAGTTGGAAAAAGGCAACATTACTGTATTTTTTATACTTTCAGGGCAACATTGCTCTACTTAAAAGATAAGATATCTAGTATTCATTTTAGAAAATTTTTCAAACATTTTACCTCTTAACCCATAAAATAATATTCCATCAAGAAATTGTGAAAAGAACAATAAACAAGGAAAAAATGAAAAGTAGATACGAAATAGTGTTACTGTATGGTCTTCCAAAACATGAACAATGTCTTCATGGAACCATAATCTACTACGTTTTCCTGGCTCGTTTGATGATTCTTGATGAACTATTTCTGTCCCCATATCTTGTATTAAATCATGCATTTCAATGCATGAATCTTCAATATTTATGAGGCATTTATCCTCCAACACACCAATAAAATAACTTGGATTATTAAAGCCATGAATTGCTTCCACCATATATTTAATGTGCCCCAAAGATTCCCCTTTGAAGAAACAAGCAATATCAAGAAATATTTCTTTCTCAAAGTGTTCTAGGTCATCGTAGCTCACTTTCAATACTTGTTGAATGTCTTTACTTGGAATTAATTTAAATGCATCTAAAGTGGATTCACACTCATTTATATTCCTTCCACACATGTTAGAGCCTATTACTTCAAGAGCCAAAGGAAAGCCTTTTGCATAATTTATTGCGCGATTCAATACCATCATGTTACTTGGATTTACTTAGTTGCTTCTAAAAGCATTCCAATTTAACAATTCAAGAGATTCTTTGTCATCAAGAGCCTTCATGTCATATATACGCTTGACCCCATGTCTTTCAAGTAAATGCTTATTCCTTGTCGTTATAAATTAATGGAAGTTTAGTATTAAAATTATAAAAAATTAATATTAAATTTAATATTAAATCTAGATTGTTCAAATTGTTGATCTATTCTAATAAAAAGATTTAGTTTTTTACTTTAATAAATTTTGAAAAAATAAAAATTAAAATATTTAGTCTGAACTGTGTGCAACGGTGTGCTAAGGGTGGGTGGAAGAAGAGAAGCTAGGTCCAACAAAATGAGGGTGCTTTCATTTTAAATGCTTTTTATTATTTTCTGTATTTTGTTAAGACCCAACGTACCATTTAGGCAATGAAGGGGAAACGGAGGGAGGAGAAGTGGAGACACTCCCCAAGGAGTATTGCGACTTCTTAGACTTAATAATGTAGCTTTAATAAATATCATTGGCTGGCCAGTTACCAGAGAAATGGGATGGGATATCTTTACCTCCTCCATACTCCTCCCCTCCTCTCATCCTCTTTTAGATTTGTTTGTCCAGATCAAGTATTTTAGTTTTATATTTATTAAAAAAATTATAAAATATTTTATTAAATTTATCAATAATCTGGACTGTCAGATTTAGTATATAAATCTAAATGTAACATTAAAAGTTTTTATAATTTTAATATTAAATATGCATTGTTCATAGTATATCAGGATAATTAAATTAAAAAATGTATACAAATAATTATTATATATAATCACTAATCTGTATAGTCCATATTTAATATAAACAGTTCAAATTAATATTAAATGTTTTTATAATTTAATATTAAATATGTACTATCTAGTATTTATCTAGATGATCAATTATAAAACTATGAAAATTTGAATATTAAATTTGGATAACTCATATTAAATCTAGAAAATTTAAATTGTTGATCAAATTAATAAAAAAAATTATAATTTTTTATTTAATAAATATAAAATTAAAATTAAATTAAATTAAATCATTTCATCAGACTTTTTAAATTATACAAAAAAAAACAAGGATGGGAGGAGAGTAGGAGGAGAGTAGGAGGAGAGGAGGAGAGTGGGTGACTTCCAAGGAAATTGTTCAAGTTTCTCTAACTTGGCTTCCCTCCTACTACCCTTCTTCCCATCCCCTATTAAATATATAGATCATTCAGATTTAATATAGTACATTCTTGATGATTTATTATTTTAATCCCTTTTATATATTCATTTGATAAGAAAAAGATAAATGTAGAAAATACTAAAGTGTCCTATAATAAGACTAAAATTAATTTTCTTTATTTATTTTATAAATATGATTAGAGGAGTATGAGAAACTCTTACTCATTTTCTTGAATTATAGATGATGGGGGATTTGAAAAGAGTATTATATTATTGAAACACATTTTTCAGTTTATAATTTTTTAAACTCTTGCATAAAGTTAGGCTTTTGGATGTACTCCCTCTGTCTCTATATATAATAAGTTTTTTTAAAAAACCTTTTGTACTTAAATATAAGAGGTTATAAGTATATTTTTAATAAATGAACCATTATACCCTTATTACATTAGAAAGGAAAATAAATAAGTATTCATAAATTTACTTTGAAAAAAATTATTTTTTATTTATAATATTGAGGGATTGAAACTACTGTCAAATAGTACCAAAATTAATAAAAACTAGATTTTATAGCAAAGCGCAACCTAGGTCGTCTCCCTAAGAGTCAATAGAGTAATTATTTGAATTATGATTATGAAAATGTAAATAATGGGGGGTTTTTATGATAAAATTAAAACTAAATTAGAAATAAATAAATAGAGGAAATTCAACTAAGAAAATTACCAAGAATAAGCAGTGCAATCAATCATAACCCAATCACCTAAATTTAATCTTCCTCTTTACAAAATAAATTAATTTTATTCAACTTTATTATTCTGATTTCATTATATATTTCTCAAATTATCATTCAAGAATTAAACAAAAAGTTAAGTTATAGATTAATTAAAATCTCCCTAAACCCACACCAAAAACAAGCATGAGTAATCACTCAAGGCAAGCCAAATTACTCTTAAGTTGCTATATCAATCGATTATAGCAATTAAAATCTCAGATAAAATTTATAACCTAAAAATTATACAGTAAAGCTACTTTAATCAGTAATAGCAATTAAAGCATAAAATTTAGAGGTAGAGAGAAGAGTAAATTGAAATAAAGTTAGAATAAAATCTTCCCTAAATATCAAGGACTCTAATTAAAATTTAGAATCAAAATTTATGATTGATCACACCAAAAAAATTAGCTATTTTTAGAACTAAAAATCAAGCAATATGAGATGGAAATAGGAGAGGCCATCTGTATTGAAGAAAAGAAGAACAGCAATTGCATCTGTGGTTCCTTCCCACTGACGCCGCCAACGTTTTTGTCCCTTTCTTTTTCCATAAAAGTCGTGCGTCCCCCCCTTCTGCGTCTCTCTTCCTTTCTTTTATAATAAAAACTAATAATTTATTAAAAAAATAAAACTAATCCTAATTAAAAATTACACTAAATAACTCAAAATAAATTCAAACAAAATTTTAAAAAATTGATTCTTAATTTGATTTCCAAGTATGTCCATATTCTTCTTATCCAATATATTTTCTATCAATATCTTTCAAATTGAATTTAGAAAATCTGCACAAATAAAATAAAATTAAATATCACCTGTGTAAAAATATTAAAGATATTATTTATATTTTAAAATCAAAGATTTAGTTAGTTAAAATTCCAAAACTGAATATTGGCTAATAAAATTAAATAATATCTAATTAAACTCAATTAGCTTCAAATAAATATTTAAAAGTCTAAATTAAAAGGATAAAAATATATAAAATTGCCATTTATCAATTCCCCCACACTTAGACTTTTGCACTCTTGGGCAAAACTTAAATCTCAAAATTCAAGAAAAGAAATGTGGAAGCAACAAAGAATAAGAAACAATTATAGCTCTTCAACATTTTAACACTCTAATCAATATTTCTTATATATGGAATAACAAGTATCATGGTAATTTCATTTGATAAGAATAAATTAAGCAATAGTCCTTCACAAAGGTCAAGTGTTTAACTCTCAACTCTCAAATGTATATAGGTAAGTGTTTTACTCAAGTTTCCCTATCAAAACCTCACTACCATAGGCTTATTTATCATCTAGGTTTCCACTATCTATGTCATATGCAATGCAAAAATCAACAGAACTTTATTTTAGGTTGTAATGGGGCTTAGGTAAAGGTATGGTATAGAAATAGGAAAATAAAGGCTAATAAACTTTAGGATAATGAAAAGCATATTTGAAACGAAATATATAGAATGAAAGAAACAAAATAAATTGATTTGGATTTATTTTTCTCTCTTTGTTTTGTTTTCATTTCCTTTGCTTCATGCACCTTTTTATTTTTTTTTATTTTTTTTCCTTTTTGCCTTTTATGCTCTTTCTTTCCTTTTTTTTTTCTTCCTTCCTTTTTTTTTTCTTTGCCTTTTGGCTCCCTCTCTCTTTTTTTTCAAAATAACCCAAATCTCTCTTCAAGGATTTTCTTTTATTCCAACAAATATTATGATACACTTTTCATTACCAAAAGTGGGGTGAGAAAATGAAGGAAAAGGATTTTTATAGGTTATATTTTCAGTTGGCTAATATTTTAAAGAAAAAGTCTAGGCTCAAAGGGGTTAATAAGGAATAAATTGCATGGGATGGTTATTTGGCTAAATAGGCTAAAAGAAAAGAATGCCTAAATCATCTTCATGCAAAGCATATGTAATTATAGTCTCAACTAATAATCAAGACAAGTTCTAGAGTGAGAGTAGTGATAGGAGAATGCACACAAGAAGAGAATAATATTAGGTCCAAATCCTCACAAGCTAAAGACTATCACATTAATCCATTGAAACCAAATTCATAGCCACTTAACTTGAACTCCAAACATAAGATCAATCATTTATCATGCTTAAATGCATTCAAACTGAAATTACCTTAAACTTGCAACTTCAAAAAAGAAAAAACTAAAAGTATAAAAAAAATGCAACACCTAATTTAAAAAAATTTTAAAATAAAGACAAGTCCCTTCCCGCACACTTAAATCTTGCATTGTCCTCAATGCAATTCAATTTAAAATAATCCAATCAACCGTAATAAAATATAAAATGCAAGGTAAAGTGAAAGAAGAAAAGACAACCAGATAATTTAAATCTCCGTAAGCTCTTAAAGTTGAAATTCTCATCTCGGATGGAGAATAGATACTTGTTCAAAACATTTTTCTCTCTAAGCTCATCAAAAGCTCCTCTAGGCGGTGGCTTTAGATCAATTGGCAGTGGATCCAAAACGTATAAAAAATGATGAGCCAAGCCCTCTCTATATATGAAACAACTAATAAAATCAAGTAGACTCTCATCAGTAAGAGTCAAAGCTTTTGCAAAAAGAGCCATAAGGACTTTTCCTTTATCTGGTTGAAGGTTGCATGATAATATTTCCATTGAAGATGGCCTTAATATAGTAAAAGGAGTTTTTTTAATCATAAGTACCTGCTCATGAAGCTCAACAGAAATAACAAAATCTTCCACACAAGCACTATTAGAGTCAGAATGCATAATATAATTAATAATCCCATTACTCTTAGTATTATCAATACCATCACAAAAGCTCATAGGGATCACAAAATCAATGTTATTTAGGTGACCAACTAAACGCACGATCTCATAAGCATTATCATAATCAAAAGGCTTAACACAAGTAGATGAACTAGTAGCCTTGGTATAATCAATATAGTCAAGTGGATCATCACACTCAATAGAGTTAATGCAAACAAGAGGATCCAACAAATCATCAGAGTTTATAAGTTCATCTATTTCAACACAGGCAGCACAATTATGTAAGCTATTAGATATACAATGCATAATATTTTCATAATTTTCCTTTCAAAACTATGAGTATCATGATAAAGCATGGAAGGAGAAAAATCAGTATTAAGGTGATAACCATTCCAAGCCATCTCTTCAACCAAAATAGAATCACTCAAACTAAAGGAAAATAAAA